GTACACTGTCACAGCTATGACGTGTGAGAATTCCCTCGGGAGATAATGGGGCCTGAGGCTAATGGCTAGCAGCTCAATGTCCCGGCTGCAGAGCATCTCTTTGATCGTGATATGCCCCGGATTGCACCATTTGTCGTTCACAAAAACAGCCAGTCCCCCTCCTTTTCTCTTTCCACTCCCTTCATTTCTGTCCGCACGTATGAGTTTGAAACCTTCCAACTCGGCATGTGTGTCCGGAGTGATCGCTGTTAGCCACGACTCTGTGAATAGCATCAAGCTAGCCTCGCGGTACACCCTTTGATGTTGCGTTAGCGCCGTCAGCTCATCCATCTTATTCGGGAGCGATCTTACATTCCCCATGATGACGGACGGGAGGACATGTCTGTATCTTCTCCTCCTTGTGCGGCGCTCCTTCCCGGCTCGACACCCTCGTCTCCTCCTCTTCAACTCGCGTAGGATGTCAGGATTGTCACCGGCCAGCAGCCGCTGTTAGTTTTGGGCGCATCTCAACAAGAGCCAATCAGACAAGACGGGAGACAGCACTCGGGTCACGCATGGGAATCATTTTGTGCATTTCACAGCCACCTGCGAGGAAAATAATCATCCCCGGCATGAGATTGCATGCGCGGCGGCAAAGCCAGGCACCAATTGGGGAGGAAGTGGAGTCCTTCATCATCAAGACGCCAGATGTGGAAATGACGATTCGCTATCTGGGAGCAGACAGGCGATGATCGGTCACTGTCACTCGGTGGTGACTGCTTCACTTTTGCGGCATGCATTTATCCATGCGTATGCAAATAATAGCATAGGATTCACACTTGAGAGTGGCCAAAAAAAGGGAGCCACAATATGATTGTGCATTAATAGTCATAGGAAGTTGAATCGGGGCAAGGGGCCCGATGTCGGCAGGCATCGTAAAACCGGGCGCATCCTCATTTTGTCTTGTCTAGCCAGTTTGGAACTGTGATGCCTTTGACTGTCGCACCCCCGACACATCTGATAATGTGGTCACAGAAAGTAGAACGCGCATAGCATAAAAACAAGAGCATCTCCATTTTCTTGCCAAGTTTAGTTTATAGCTTGTTTGTGAATTTAGTAGACAGTGCTGCTCGTCGACCGAAGTTTCGTATGTATGTACAACTCAATGTACTTCACATCCAGTCACTACAAGCAAAACATTTAAAAGCAGTTATAGAGTCAAACAGATTATTCAAAAAAAGCTCACAAAAATTATTAAAGGAGCGTACAAATACAAAAACAAGATCTTGGAGAACGTGGTTTTAAAAATACTTTGAAAGATCTTCTTCATAGGCATGGGAAAAGAGCGTAGTTTTGAAGCTGGCTTGAAAGGCATTTCGATTTTTTTTTTTTTTTTTTTTTATGTTTTGAATCTTTATTGTCGAGGACACCAGAAAATCGGAGGACTGTATCATGCTTTTTCTAAATGCTTTTTAAATGTGATGCGTCCGTATTCTACAAGGCTGTGTGTTATTCATGGGGTTTCACGGTACTCACGGATTCTCCTTCTGGGAGGGGCGGTGGGGGGGGGCTATTTATAGATGCTATTGACATCAGGGCTTAACTGCTAAGCCCATTTGGACTTTGTATTACTCTTTTGTGTTTTCTATTGTCTTTGTTATTCATTTATTGTTTTATTGTTTTTGGTTGTGAACATGATCTTTGCTCCACGGACAGCACTTTACAGTGGTGCTTGTTTTAAAGTGCTTTATAAATACAGTTGAGTTGGGTTGAGTTAGTCTCTAACCAAAACAACAAAAAAACAAAGCCGTCGAGATGAACTTAAGTTTGACATAGTCGTATTATGTTACAGTCATTAGTTCATCAGCTGATCAATAGTTAAGTCAATGTATTTGCTCATGTGATCGTCTCAGTTGAGCCCTTCTGGCACTTGTGATATCTTTTCCAGTGGACAGCGAGTGGAAGTAAAAGGCCAAATGGCCAACCCCTCAGAGGAAAAAAATAAACGAGCCGATTTTTCTTCTTCAGTCATGTTTCACAAATGCCATACTCATTTGAATCTCGCAGTGAGACATGGTCGGCACATAGAACGTATTGTAAAGAAAATGCTTGACATGACTTCCCCTTCAAGCAGTATCCTTCTATTTATGTTGATGTTCTATCTAACTTGACGATTCCTTTTATTCAAATGTAGCTTCAAACGGGATAGCCAGCGTCGGCGGCAGCAGAAAACAATGACCACTCAAGTGGGTCAAGATGAAGATTGATTGACCGCTTGCTAGGTTAGCGTAGCAGCTAACTGCCTGGCCTTTAGCTGATTAATTAGTAACCTTTAAGGTTTACATAACAAGAGGTAATCTCTGTGACAGATTGACAAACATTTGAGAGAGAAAGACTTACACACACACACACACACACTTATGCTCTCTTCACAAACATGGAGAAGGCCATCAGTGACAAAATGTTCCGCTGCAGCTGGATGCGCCGCAAGCTTCCCCATGCCGTCAGGGAGGAGGTGTACCACCTCTTGATGATGATGGGGCCCCTGGTAAGGACGTCTTCTTCACTTTGCAGTGCATCAGGGGATCACTCATCGGCGTGTCTTCCTAGTTGCTTTCTCGAATCCTCACTTATCTGCTTCCGTTCGTGGCGACCATGTTCTGCGGACGCCTGGCCAACGAGGTGATGGCCGGCTACGGATTAGCGTGTGCTGTAAGTAGTCGTTCCCAGTGGCTGTGCAAGATATTTAAATAGATGGAGTCTTTTCCCACCAGTTTGCTTTCACAGTTTTGGACTTCGATGCTTTTCATGAGAGATTGTTCATTCTTTTTATGAAAACAACAGCAAAAAAAAAAAAAAAAAATCCTTCAAAATTAATTGTTTATTAATTGTCTGCAGATTGGTATTCCTTTTTTTCCGAAAAGAAACCAACAAAAATGCTTCATCATATACCACCAGTCAAAAGTCTGGCCTCACTGTCGCAATGTATAACCATGTCCAAACTTTTACCTGCTAGTGACATTGGTGGATTTTTTTCTGTTTTTTCATCTGACAGAATGCATTTTCCTTGTTTTTTCGATAGATTTGTCATTACATGCTTTTCATTGAATGTTTTTTTTCTTTTTATTGAACAGAGACAAAATATTTTTTGTTTGGTGGATAGTTTTCTGCAGCCTGGTGGTCGAGTGGTTCGCACTTTGACCTCACAGTCCCATCCGTTTTATCCTCACAAGGGTCGCGGGGGGTGCTGGAACCTATCCCAGCCATTTTCGGGCAGTAGACAGGGGACACCCTGAACCGGTTGCCAGCCAATCACAGGGCACACACAGACAAACAACCATCCGCGCTCACACTCGCACCTAGGGACAATCATTCATTCAATCAGTCATTAGACTTTGCAGCGTGAATCTTATCTGACTTAATCATCGATTGTTTGTTTTTATTTCTTTTCTAGACCGTCAATGTGACCACTGCAGCAACAGGCCTGGGTTTGGGGATCGCGCTTGACACTTTGGTCGCTCAGGTCTGGGAAAACTCACTTTTACGTTGACGTCCCACACACCCAACCCTTGAACGCTAAATACTGCCAACATGCGACAGACCTTTGGCGGTAAGAACCTGCTGCGGGTGGGTGTGATGCTGCAGCGAGGCATCATCATCCTGCTGTTGTTCTGTCTGCCCTGCTGTGGTCTGCTCCTTAATGCCCAGAGCCTCCTGCTGCTCATGGGCCAGGACCCCGAGGTCACGCGGTAAAACTCATGTGATGGCATCGGCGGCACAATCATCCAAGCGTGTGGGTCCTCACGCTGACCTTTGTGATTTCAGAATCGCGCAGTTGTATATCATGGCATACCTCCCAGCAATGCCGGTAAGTTGTTTTCATCATTGGGCCGGTTTCTATGATTGGGATGTGGTGGCCGTGGTATGAAGGCAAGTTGCCACTGAAGACTCGGGGAGCAAATGCATGTCCTACCAATTTATTATTCTGTGCTAATTTGACCCTCTTGTTTTTTTTACTGTCTTCTGATGTGACGAATAAATGTCTCTCTGCCAATCTGCCCTTTTAGGCAATGTTTCTGTATCACCTGCAAGTGTCCTACCTTCAGAATCAGGTGCACAAACACACATGCTCCCATCATATTATTACTTCCGTCATCATTGTGACTTCACTAAGTCAGATAACATTATGAGGGCTTTACAATGTATTCCCACTTGGAACATAAGGCATAAAGTGGACATTTGTTGTGATGATAAGAAATCTGACATGCGGCGCATTTGTGACATGCCTCAATGACGTAATGTCATCTTTAGCAGACTCATTAAGCCATGACTTAAAAGGCACAAGAAGTCTGCCATTTTGGTTTGATGACACCATTTTAGATTCATTTTTAATCCACTTCCAATATTCCTTCCAAGATATCAATGTCTGAGGTTGATGCCGAATTTGAAACTCTAACTGTGGACAATGTAAACTTGCAAGGGCTTTTGAGTTTATTTATTTATTTATTTTTGTCATTGTGTGTGGGCGGAGAATGGCAGTAAAGTTTTCTGACTCTTACTAGTTTGCTTTTAAATTCAGACCCCAAAACCAGTTTCCTTTCGCGACATGAAATTTGGTAGACGTGTTTATCACAAGTAGACCCCCAAAAAAGTCTGAAGAAGCAATGCTTGAAAAAAACACTGGAAGTCACACATTTTTTTATTTTATTTATTTATTTATTTATTTTTATAAGTAACGATTTTAAGGCCACTTTTCCCATTTCCGCGCGTCCTTAAAAGTGAACTCCTTGTGTATTTGCTTCCAAATTAAACCACAAATTGAACTACATGTACTGTGTTATATGAACAACACTACATTGTTTTTCATAACTGAGATTTGTTGGCATAATGCCATAAAACACAAAACTGCAATAACTTAACTTTGCAAGGTCAAAGATTTCCTGATTGGGTTACATATTTGCATGGTCTTTTAGTTGCTAAGCAGTGTTCATGGGAGCTCAAACCGAACTCCACTATATCCATTGGGAGGAGGAGGGGGGGGGGACTAAACAAAACACTAGAATGCGCACTTGGCTGGTATCACAAAAAAAGTTTGTAGATGATGATGAAGTACATTAATTTGCTGTTCTGTGGTACCGTTAGTGTAAAATACATACAGCGGTGCCTTGGGATATGAGTTTAATTTGTTCCATGACCATGGTCATAACTCAAAACGCTTGTATAAATCATTCTGCCTCATTGAAATGAAGGAAAAAGAAAAGAAAAAAGTTTGGAATATGTTATTTATGAAGAAAAATAGCACTAATTGATATTATACTGAAAAACCAATGGCAAAATGAAATAGAATGCAAAAAAATGAAACACTTTTTTACACAAGTTTTTTTTCATCAGTTGAACGGACATTCTGCTACTCCTGTTGTGCGCACCTTGGTCACCTGGGGGCAGTATAATTCATTCATTCATTCATTCATTCATTCATTATCCATACCACTTATACTGCTATACATGGAGCCGGCGGTAAGAACTCCTCAGAATGCCACAATAACTTTATTTTTTCTTTTCAGAAGATAAATAATACATTTTTGTTTGTATTGTAATATTAGCTGTCTATAGGTGTTGCTTCGCCATTTGTGATCAAACATCAGTTGCTTAAAGATTTAATACACCGCGACACAGATCGTTTTTGTTAACTAGCCGACTGTGTTTTGCTTTGTAATTGTTATCAAGACAAACGGCCTTACGCTAAGCAAAACATTGTGGTTGTTTTCAGTACAAATGTTATTGTTTTTGTTTTGTGTTTAGTTTGACAGTAAACTTCAACTGGGAGGCAAAAAAAGCTTGAAGCCACTTTTGTGAAGAATTGTTCATTATCTGCCAAACCCCTGCTTGTTGTGAAGTTGAGTTGACTCCTCCCCACACAGCATTCGTATCTATATTTTTTTGCTGGCTAGTCAAAGCAAAATATCGGCCAAACAACACTGCTAAAAACTTGGGGTTGCTGGTATTTCAAGGCACCAGTGTATTAGAAACCATCCATCTGTTCTCATTGTACTGTGCTGTCGTCATTTCAGGGCATAATACTACCACAGATGTACACGGCCGCCTTGGCGAATGTGGCAAACTTGCTGACGAATTACATCTTCATTAGCGTGCTCGATCTTGGAGTTTAGTAAGTCCAACGCACGCACGAACACACACACACACACACACACACACACACACACACACACACACACGTATAAATTGTATGTGTTGTGGTAGGAGATATTTCTGACATTTTCTTTCAGTGGCTCTGCAGCAGCTTGCACCCTGTCAGAAATATACGTCTGTTCCTTCCTGTTTGCTTACATCTGGTGGAAGAAGCTGCATAAAACGACATGGGGAGGTGACGTAATCCTCTATATACACAAGTCAAGAAATCTTCATTTACAATTATAATGCCAATTTAAATCTTACTTCAGAGAACACATGCGATTGCCATAGACAACGCTGTACAAAACGTGGCAGTATATGATGGCAATCTCCAGATGTTTCGGCACCGTACCTAAGGTTGTGTCTGGCATTTGGCTCGAGAAGTGCGTGTCTCGCTCCCCCTGCAGGCTTTTCTCTGGAGTCGCTGCAGGAATGGGGCTCCTTCATGGAACTGGCTATCCCCAGCACACTCATGACGTGTTTTGAATGGTGGATTTATGAATTTGGGGGCTTTTTTGCAGGTACAAATGTCATACAGCATTTAGATTAATTTTTATATTATATTTTGAAATGTATTCTATGCTTTTCCCTGTTTTTTTTCATTGTACAATATGCTGTCCAATTAATTTTATTTTATGCTCTCCAATTAATTTTGTGACGGGTGTCCATTTGATTGGTATGTAATGCTCCACCATTCATTTTAAAACGTCCAATTTTTATTTTAAATATTGCTGTTTTTGTTGTATCGTGCGTGGCAGGGATGCTGGGTAATGTTGAGCTCGCCGTCCAACATGCCTTGATATCAGTGGCAAACTTAAACTACATGGTAAAGTGAGGAGATGTCACGCAGGTTTTGTCTTAACATACAGTCGAGGCCACTGAGTATACATTTCATCCAAAATGGCAGGTGACGCTTGGCATCCAGGCTGCGACCTGCGCTCGAGTAGGCAATGCGCTCGGCTGCGGGGACACGGCAGGAGCGATCCTCACCTGCAAGGTGGCGCTGTTTCTTTCAGGTCAGGCTGTTTGTTGCGGTTGCTGTACGCAGTTCGGCGTCACGCGACGTGATCCTTGTTTGTTTGCAGTCACATTTGGCATTGCTCAAGCCATCTTGCTGGGAGCGACTAAATCTGTTGTGGGCCTCCTCTTCACCTCCGATCCGTGAGTATCTTGACTATAATGTTACGCCTTGCCTAATTTTAAAAGGCGGCACTACCCCCTGAACTGGTCGCCAGTCTGTCGCATGGCAATTATAGAGACAGACATCCATTCACACCCACGATCACACCGTCAATGAGCGAGAACCCGCACACAAATCAGGCGAGTGTACCACTTCAACAACAGCGACTATTTTAA